TCAAAAGGATTGATTTGAGAAAGAAAATCTTAGACACCTTAATTTCTGCCCAATATTATTCGACCATATTCTGACTTGTGAGTATCTCTTTGTTTCAGGCACGCATGAAGGTAATGAACGGATTAGTTGTGGAGTATCTTATTGATCGCTACGAAGATAAATGGAAGGAGCCCACGGTAAAAACAGGAGCAACGCGCCCTTAAACGCAGTCCTTTTCCTCGGTTTTCGTTCTTAAACAGGTCAATACTGAAGTCTCTGGATTTAGATATACACTAGCATTCATTTGGTGCCCGGATATTTGTCCGCGGACATTATCTGATTTGAGTAGCGAGCAGTTCAGGAGAGCGATACTAGAGAATACATGTGAGCTTCGAGGAACAGATAACGTCAATTTTAAAGAAAGACTTCCATCGCATTGGAACATTTTCGGTCACATCATGCACGTATTAAAACCGATCGCGTGTGAGTGAACGTATGTGATGGATTGAAACCGGTGATATTTCTTAGATAATATTTCCCAATTGTCAGAATTTGTGTGAAATTGCGATGTCGGAAAACCGTTCGCATTCCGCAATCAGATAATGTCTACGAATATAAGTAGCGGAGTATATTTTGAACCAAATAGAGGCTATTGTGCGTTTTTCTCTGTTTTATCCGAGGATTTTTGAGCACCGTAATATTTTAGCAACAAATCGTGCATGAGCGAAATTAATTGATGATGATTTTAAACATTCTCCAGAAAAGAAATATGTTGCTTAAGGTTAGTCTTCATTTGTAGCCGGTCAGACAGTTAAAATATCTATATTTGGTGTTACCAACAATTAGTTATCGGAATTCAAGCACCTAACATATCAGTTTTTGAATGACAGTTACAAAGATATGGCATGTTTAGGTTACAAATAGAATAGAAATTATTTAATTTTTGTAGAGACTAAACTACTGACGACGATATAGGGCAGTTGTGTCTTTATATCTACATGTGGACCATTTATTTTTAGCATAATATTATACTTTCTCCATACGTTGTTAGAATATTGTAGACTAATATGATATTATCAAGCTTTTTCCGCAGGTAATCGTTCGGCACTTTACCAATTGGGGGAAGTGCTTCCTCGACTACAAGTGATTATGAAATTTTATCAGAAAATATTAGAGATTTTTTAATCTTTTACTCCCAAGATCTCAATAGTAATTCTCCTTATCGTCTGTCATACATTTCGTATAATGTAACTTTGGAGAATTTGGTATTAAATCAACCAATAATCTAATTGTTGATAATTTTTCTTTAGTCTCATAATTGTTCTTTTTGACATTGTGTTGATTTTGTAAGGAGCAATTATGCCTTAGTCACTCATAGGAGTTCAGGGTTAATGCAATAACCTATAAGCGCTGGCGGACTTGGGTCTTTTGCATCGAATCAACTGCAGCATGGAGCGTTGGAAGTTGTTGTCCTAAAAATTAAATTGTTTTCCTAAGCACTAAGACAATAGTTAGCAATTTCAACTTCAAGTCAAGTTTCCGTGACGGCATCAGAACTAGTGGCAGTTCCCGGATGTACCTGACTGCGTGACAAGAGTTGTTGTCGATTCCTTAGTGCCTTTATGTAAATCTGTAGTAACGTGCACTTATCTATATGCATGGCCAGAAACGTGTTGAAAATTATTTAAATATACGTTCTATTTATATGTTCCTTCCGTTATTGCCTCAAAAGCGAAAATACTCATTAATATTACAACAGCATAGATATAGACAGCATAAATTTCGCAATAAACAGAATGGATATAGGAACCTGAAAACTTTACTCGAATAGTAATGCTTCTGAGTCGGAAGTTCGAATTAGCCATCGTCCGCATCGAATTTTGGTCCGCAAAGGTAGCTGAGAAGATAACACTAGGTAGACATTCTTGCCCTCAACAGTTGTCGCGAATCTGAAAGAAACACCGTAACTTAACGCGAATAATGCGATTGATTCGCTTTCTGAGGCTCATACAAAGCTTCGATTGACTTCCGCTATTTCTTAGAAAGATCTTAATGTAATTTTTCCCGACTAAGAAGTAAGATCCACTTGATGAAACATATATTCTTCAGCACGGTCAGCGGATGGTTGATTTTAAAAGGCATTTCACGTATAACAGCTGCGTCTAACAATGGAATATTTCTTTATTGAGCTGTGTGACTTCAACTTTGGTGTATTCCCTATAATGAACAATTAGAACACTTATTTTCATAACTCTTCTAATTTCTCTACAAGCAAAAATCATCAGATGGCCGCACACGTTAACGCAATCGACGAACAACAGCGACAACCAGAAGGCGGCTCAAATGTTTATACAGATTTTCTTGATGTAATTTCGAGAGGTACAGAGGACGATGTGGAGCGATTTTTACGGCCAGCGAATTC